CTGTAGTTTTTTTCATGGCCGTTTAGCGTACGGCTGGCAAAAGAAACTACTTTATTACCCAGCATTAGGGCTGCACCTAATGCAAAATTGCTCGCATCGGTAACAAGCGTAAATGGTTTGTTAAAATTAGGATGGGTAAGTATAGGATCGGCCGCTGTGGTGTAGTGGTAAGCAGTGCGCACTTCCACTCCACAATTCCTGGGTTCAAAACCTGGTCAAAGCAACATCGCAAAAATATAGAAAAAAGGTTTTTTCTTAACAGCGGTCGTCCCTCGGCAGGCAATGGCAAACCTCCGAGTGTATTTCTGCCATGAAAAACAGCTTCTCATAAAAATACAATCGCCGTTCGGAGTCGGCGTAAAACTGTAGGTCCCTCCGCTTTGTGTGACAACATCAAGGCGCACGCCACAAGTCGGAGGAGAAGCTCGGCCAAACACTAACATATGTGTTAGCGCCAATCTATTATTATTATTATTGGAATGTTTGATTATATTTTCTTTAAGCATATCCTCAATCTGACTATTAGCTTCTTCTTTATGCACCTCCGGATATCTATATAATTTTGAGTATATTGGCATATCATGCTTTGTAACTATTCTGTGCTTTATTTCGTTAGTAAATGTTAGGTTATCATTTTTCTCGTAAAATACATGTTTATATTTTTTAATAATTTTAAGTAATTTTTCTTTTTCATATTCTTCAAGACGATTTGTTCGAATGTGGGACATAACATTAGATTTTTCAACTTCGGAATTAAAAAAATAACTATCTTTATAGATTAAATCGTTATAAGTCTCCTCTTCCTTAGACAAAAATAATGTCATTACAGCACTACTACTAATAAGTTGACTATTAGGAAAATCGATGATGCAGTTTAAATCTTTCAAGATGTTATTTCCTATAAGTCCATCAAAATTTTCGTTGAATGCGTATTCTAAAAATTCACAATGGTAATCATATAAATTGAATTCTCTAAATATTGGAAATTTGCAAAGTTTTGTTATTGATATTATTGTATTTAATGCCTTTGCTATTACATTTACATTTTGCTTCCATTTGGGGTGACAAATATTAGGGTTAATATACTAAATTCAGCCCCGGTATCAATTATAAATTTTAGCTTTTTAATAGGAGTATTGATAATTATGTAAGGAAGTCCTGCTCGTGTCCCACAGGAAAATTTACATTAGAATTTCCTATTTCCATTGGTTCATCTCGTTGTTGGGTACTATCGAAATTTTGTGGATTCGTTTGTCTAGGTTGACTAGAATTGGTACCAAGATTAAATTGAGGAGTACTTCTATTTGTATTTTGTGAGTAAGTCGATCGCCTTGTCTGATTTGAAAAACTTGAATTTCTTAGGTTACTATTGGCTCTATTAGAATTTGTATTCGAAACATGTTGGTTTTGATAGGACCACAGTATACAGTAAACCAGCCATTGACAATATGCTTATTTGAAAATTAATACATGAGATATTGTGCATGTATAGGATTATTTTGTCATTAACCCATAGGCAATGACTGGTGCAAAAGTACCCCCCAATGTTTGTTGATATATTTGAAATGTAAATTTTAACAGCGAAATTCATTAAAAAAAAAACAATAAAACAAAAATATTGTTGATTACTACATGGGAGGTGGTCGTGGTTATAGACAGATTTCACCAAAATTTAATACTAACCTACGTTATACCAAAGGCAGCTTCGGCACCTACTTTCGTTAAAATATCTAAATTTGGTTCGAGTTAGCGTGTTTACAAACAGACAGGACTGAACCAATTCATTTCGTCATTCTGAATATTTTGATAAATATGTATGTAAGAATATGTGTATATACATTTTATACCGTTGAAAAAACGGCCTTGCTTATCTGCATAAACCTTTCCTGCATTAGTTCGAGCGTCGATATATAACTTTGGGTACATATTTCATAAAAACTTTGGAGGTCTCCACTATAAGAGTGGTATATTTGAAAATTAGAGAGTTCTACCTTTAAGCTAAGTAATAATTGTTTTACCCCCTAATTTATGGGTCCATTTTCCAAAATCAGCCCACCATTATTCACTCAAAGTTGTGTTTGAAACCAGATATGACTTATGTAGGAACTGCATCCGGTTATAATCGCTTACGCTGCAAGCCTGATTTGCTCGGAATTTTGTTTTTCTCGTTGTTTTATTTTATGTGACTTGAAAATATTTTCCACTATAAGAAAATATTGAAATTGGATTTCATTTGGGTTAAAGAAAACGACAACTGTGAAAAAATATCAACCAATACATTCAAATAAATTGTCAAATAAGCATATTTACATTTTTTGTTTTGCCTATCTGGATTACTGTATACTGTGGTAAGGACGAATGTTAATGACTTTCAAAATTGTTGTTTGGCCTATTGCCACTGCTACTAAATGTTTTTTCTTGAAAGGAGTTATTCGAATTATTGCAATCATTACTAAAATTAGTTCTTGTGTTTGTGTATTAGTTCAAGTAATCTCTTTTAGAGGGTCCATAGTGTGTATAGTGTTGATGTTTAGCTTCTAATATTATTTTAAAAGTGTCTTCTAAGGTCTTAGGATCCCTAGCAAATATCATAGTCCGCCATGGTTCGGGAAGATGGTCCCTAAAACTTTTAAGCGAAATTCTGTTTACTTCTTCCGTAGTATAAGTATTGTCTCCATGGGTTAAATTTCTTTTGTGAATTTTATTAGCAAGTTTGTTTATTTTAAATTAATAATATTCTATAGTCCCCTGCAATCTACATGTTTTTAAATCATCCATTAATTCGTTACTAGTGTACTTTTCGCCAAAGTTTTTCGTCAGTATGTCTTTTAAAACAGCCCATGTTGTTACATTAGTGTATCTGTGAATTGCTTCCCTAGTTTTGCCAACACATGTGTTTCTTATATTACCAAAAAGAATATTTGTGTTACTGCAATTAAACTCTAAAATTGATGGCAGAATGTTTTCAACTTGATTTATAAAATCTGGTAACTGGTTTGGATCGTTACCATCAAAACACTCAATATTTTTAATGCAGGTTAAAACTAAGTTAAATCTACTTATCTCTAATGCGTCCATAGTAAAGTGTTCAATTTTTTATTTAAATATGGAGAGAAAAACAATCAAAAATGTATGTGATAAAATCACAATAGGCTAAATAAATTGGAGTAATTCAAAAATATTTATATGTACGTATGTCGGCGACTGTGTTGTTATTGTTGCTCCGTCGATTTCCGCTATGTCTGCTACTGCATTGTTTTTGTTGTTCCGCCGATATCTAGTGTTGTTGCTGCAATGTTCAATACTGCACTCATTAATTAAATGTGTTTGTTGCAATCCAATCGCCTGCCCAAAATTATTTTGTTGTTATCATTTAAAGAAGAGAATTGTTTAAACGTATGTATGTTATTATGTTTTTACTGTTGCTCCCGGTAATATGCGAGTCAGCTATTACAATTACATCGAGTGTACCCTTCGCTTTGTTTTGTTGCAGTTAATATTTTAAGAGTCTATTTATTGCTGTTGATTTTTGTTAAAAAGGTACTTTTTTATTTTGCTGCTCTCCATGAATATTTGTTAGAATTTCACTGAGTTTGCTCTCAGCCTTGCAGTTGGTGGTAAACTCCAATCGATTGCACAAAATGTTTTTGTTCTTTCTGTTCTTAGTTCTTAGGATTTTTTTGTTGTTGTTGTTATTGTGTGTATTCCCATTCACCTTCATGAAGGTCGTAGGAACTGGTTTTCGCAGTTTTCTATATTTGCACTTCTTACGTTTATGGATACAATGACCTTGTTAGAGGTTATAATCACCCCTTTTGACCTTGGTGGAGGTCTCAGTCAAAATATTTAGTGGAAACACGTGTTTTTTTTCTTATTGTGTATTCAAATAAGCAGGTCTTAAAAGTTTCAAGTTTCAAATTATTTTTTTTTGTATTTAATGGTTATTTTTTTAATTATGTGCTTTTATATGTTCTTACTCCGACTTTGCAAGAGGTCGATATCACCGCATTAAATAACAAAGTTTTTGACTTCACAGCTTTTTTATTTAACTAAGCTAAACTCTGCTAAATTCACTCGTTTAACTCTATTTAAACTTTTCAATAACAAGTATTTAACAAATATAACAAGTATTTAATAATAAAACAAACGCCTTCTTTAGTGTCTGAATAAGAACTCAATTCATTTTATTCGTTTTAATTATTCTAAACCTAATTCATATGAAGCTTACTTCTAACTTCTCTTATTAAAAGCTGATGTTTCTCTTACTCTAATTTCTCTTATAATTAATTCTTATAATTAAATAACTAAATATATGTGTAGTTTTATGGTAAGTATATATGTAGTATGTTTGGGAAAAGTATGTATGTAAGTAAATAGGAATTCATAGAAGCTTACGCAACTATATAAGTGCAAAATAGAATAGTAACAAATATAGTATATAATTCACAATTCATTTCATTATAGAATATGGTAAATGTTTTACAGGGTGATTCAGCTTATGTAGAACCAAACTTTTAGTTCGTACCGAACATTCTCCCCCTTTAAGAACGGATGTTCTTAACTCTGTTCTGCGGAGCGCTGGTTGGAATTTTGGTGATAAGGCTTCGATTCCGTGGTGGGCAGGATACAAAATGTTCGTGATAGGTCGTTTTACTAACTTCCCGTTGCACAAAAATGTTACAACTCTCACCAAACCGTCAGTTCTAGGGTGAAGCTCATGTATTTTTGCTAGTGGCCAGTAGCCGGGAGCCCTACGCCATGCATTAACAAAACTGCGCCACCGACAGCAGGATTTCTCTTTTGTTGTGTCCACTTTGTATGCTTTTGAAGAGTGTGCATATACTCATCGGTCCATCTGTGCCAGAAATGTTGTTTAAGCCGCTCCACGAGTTTCCAGCGAGAGAGTCGATCGATATTAGTGTCAAGTAAATTCTCTTCTAAAATGCATGTATCTAGTTGGCTCACCCATAAGAAAATGAGCAGGTGTTAGTACCTGAGAATCATCTGGGCGTTAAAGGGCACAATGGCCTCGCATTTTGGCAATTCTCAATTTGTGTGAGTAAGGTGCTCATTTCTTCATAAGTAAGTGTACGATCTTTCATTACGTGACGTAAATGATGTTGAGTCGACTTCACACCAGCTTCCCATAAGCCTCCGAAGTGGGGAGACGCAGGTGGTATGAAGTGCCAGGTTGTACCTTCGTTTGCTAGTGCCGCTGCTAGATGTTCAGTGAGCGCTGCTTTCTGATTTTTAAAGTAATTTTGCAGTTCTTTATCGGCGCCCACAAGGGTAATTCCACAGTCGGAGTACAAGTCTGCACCTCTTCTGCTAACGAATCGACGTAAAGCTGCGATAAAAGCGTCGGATGTAAGACTTGAAACTGCCTCCAAATGAACTGCCTTGGTGCTCATACAAACCAAGAGGCAGATATAGCCCTTTGAAGTGGTTACTTTACAAGCTGTTGATTGCTTTATGGTTATCGGGCCTGCATAGTCTAATCCGCTATGTAGGAATGCTTTCGATGGCTGAAGCCGAACAGCCGGTCAATTTCCCATTTGTTGCTGGTGTGATTTAGCGGTATATTTAAAACATATAACACATTTACGAAGCACAGAGCGAGCTAGAGAGCGGGCCGATAGAATCCAATAGCGACGCATGACATACGACAATATCAATTGAACTCCTCCATGTAAAGTTTTATGATGAGCATCTGTAAAAATAAGCAACGATAGTGGATTCGTTTTTGTTAACAAAATGGGATGTTTTTATCAAACGCTGCTTCTGCCTTGCTTATTTTCCCTCCAACTCTCAGTATACCTCGAACATCAATAAAAGGTGAAAAATTTAGAAATTTACAATTTTTGGGCAACGGATGTTTATTCTCCAAGCAACTCATTTCATGTGCGAAATCTACATGTACCGCTCTTATAAGAATGTTCAGTGCACGATTAAGTTCATATGTCGTTAGATAGTCTTTCTCTATATAATGTCCCTCTTCAGGTTTACGACGGCGCACCATAGCTCTAGCATTATGAAAGAAGCGCATAACGTAAGCTGTTACACGTTTAAGTCGTGAAAACGAAGAAAACCTGAATATAAAGTTGGGATATGTCGTCTCCGAAACACCAACATGTGTAGCGATGTGGGACTTTTGTTGCTCTAAATTAGTGTCGAATTCAGTTTTAGAAGTAGGCCATCCACTTTCGTTTGCGATAAGCCATTGTGGTCCACTCCACCACAAAGTGTACGTTATAAGCTCATTTGATGCTAATCCTCTCGTCAAACAGTCAGAAGGGTTCTGGCTTGTAGGTATGTATCGCCACTGATCTACGGTGGAACAACGTTGAATTTCTGCAAGTCTGTTAGCTACATAAACCACCATCGTGTTGAGCAACTTCGTATCCAACCTAAGACACCATACTATCCGTCCAATAATGAATGTTGCACAGTTCACTATCGAAATAGCGCTTAACCTTTGCCATGAGTTTAACTAACAATGTTGCTGCACACAATTCCAATCTCGGAATCGAGACAGTCTTTAGCGGCGCCACCTTAGTTTTGGACTGAATTAGAAATGAAGTTGCGCTTTTCTCATAGTGAAGCACTGCGTACACCATTGCTGCATACGCTAACGAAGAGTCATCGCTAAATCCATGCAATCAGATTTTGCTCATCTTATAGATGCTAAGCCATCTTAAAATTTTGATGCTTTCCAGATTTTTTAACGAGTCACGATATCGTATCCATTCCTCATGCAGTTTCGTTGGAAGAGGATCTTGCCAATCTAAATTTTCTTTCCACAAACGTTGAAACATAATTTGGCTACGATAGTAACCGGCGCTAGCCATCCCAGAGGATCAAACAGCTTCGCCGCGTCCGATAGCATACTACCTTTGGTTACCGTAGAAGCGAAACTGAAGTTAAGTTTAAAGCATAAGTGATCCTCGCTTATTTCCCAATAAAGGCCTAAAGCTTTGACAAAGTTCTCATCTTTCAATTTATAAGCATCAGCGTTATCGCGGTTTTCAGGAGGGATAACGTTCATCAATTCATTCGAGTTTGAATTCCATTTTCTCAAATTGAATCCGCCACGTTTAGAAAGGTTACTTAACTGCTGGTGTAACTCTATTGTATCTGTTATGGAATCAGTGCCTGATGTTATGTCATCCACATAGCTGTCGTTCAGAAATATATTGCTTGCGAGAGGGAATTCAGAGTTTTCATCACGTGCTAATTGACGAAGAACACGTATGGCTAAATACGAAGCTGAGGTAGTGCCATACGTAACAGTGCGCAATTTATAGATGCTGATGTTCTTTCTTACATCATCTCTCCACAAAATACACTGAAATTTCTGATGTTCATCGCAAACCATTACTTGGCGAAACATTTTCTCCAAATCGTCTGTAAATGCAATTTTATGACAACGCCAACGAGTAATTATACTGGGTAGGTCGTTCTGCAAAGGCGGACCAGAAGCGAGCTCTTCGTTGAGAGAAATATTTTTTGGTCGACCATTTCCTCCATCAAATACAACTCTTAATTTAGTTGTAGTGTTTGCTGTTTCTGAAAACACCATGGTGACAAAAGAAATAAGAGTTTTCTTGCACATCTCTTGGGTACTCACCTATCTTTTGTATGTGGCCCAGAGATTCGTAGTCGGATAAAAATTCTTTGTACAATAACGCAAACTTCGTATTGGATTTGAAATGGCTTTCAAGTTACTTAAGTCTTCTTACGGCATTTAGGTGAGTGCCGGTAAATGACGGCAGCGTACCGTTAGTAAATAGAGTCTTAAAAGGGAGATGTACCGTATATCGTCCATTATCATCTCTGGTATGGGTTTCTAGGAATAGTTTTTCGAATGCAATTTCTTCCGGGCTGAGTTGTCGTTCAACAAATAATTCTTCCTGTTCCCAAAACAACTTAAGTGTGTCGTCATGTGTACATAAATTTGAATGTTTTAAGTCTGGAGCAAATCTTTTACTAGTAGGGCCGGATATCATCCAACCAAAATGGGTTTCCTGTAGTAAGATTCCTCTTTTTTATTTTCGCATATCAGTTAGCAGGATATCCCCATAAATAACACATCAAATAATTATATCGATGTCATCTGGCGAAGAAACAGTAGGGTCTGCGAGGTGTGTATATCAGACAATTTAGGTAAATTGTTTAAATTGATTGGACTTGGTTTATATGAAGTAATTTTTGTTAAAACGAATAATTGGCAGTCAATCGAAAACTCCTTCTCGTAGTAAGAGTGCAAAGTGAGTTTTACTAATTTTCTAGCAGGTATGCCTGGAATACCCCCAATACCACTAACAGAGACGTTAACATTATTTTTCTTGAGGTTGAGTGCAGCTGCTTGATTGTTAACGGTACACCGTTTGTACAAAGTGATAAGTTTGAGTTTATGTGACCAGCATGAGAGTAGTTGGAACCATTGAGTGTAAAAGCGGTATGTAGTATAGTATGATGAGCCTGTTTGCACTCCTGGCACCGAGAGTTAATTCCGCATTCACTGTAGGTGTTACCCTTACAGTTCAAGCATAATTTGTTTTGCAAAACGAAGTGTTTCTTTTCAGCTGCCGAGAGCGCCGCAAACTTGAAGCATTTGTACAACTGATGATGCTTCTGAAACAGGGGCAGATGGAGTTTGCTGAAGTAGAATCTGTAGATGTTGTATTTGCATGAAGCAGTCGTCGTTGTTTGTTCTGTACTTTACTTTTATGTTCACGACCAACGGATATAACCATTTTCGTCGCATCATCTCCTTCAACAAACTCTAGAGCACGATAGGTATTTTCAAGGAATTTAAGAAAACTTTGCACCGGAGGAATGTTATTACTTCCATTCAACGAATGCTCCCACTCTTTTCGTGTTTGTTTATCAAGTTTCTTAGTGAGTACAAAAATAAGTAATGGATCCCAACCAGAAGTGTTTACGTCTACCGTTTTTAAGAGTGCTAAACAATTCCGTGTCAAATCAAGAAGATTTTTTATACTTTGTAAGCCTCCATCGGTATGCGGTGCGTTAAAGAGTTTTTTTTTTTTAAAGTTCATCAACCAATTTTCGTTTATTATGATACCTGCTTACTAAGGCGGACCATGCAAGTGCATAGCTGGCGTCAGCTGCGGGATACTCATCTACCATTTCCTGTGGAGTACCCGTGCAGGAACCTTTTAAATAGAAATACTTTTGAACCTCGGTTAGAGCTGCGTTGTTGTGAACTAAGGGCAGGAATATATCGCGGAATGGAGTCCATTCTAGGTAATCTCCCGAGAACGTGGGAAGTCCGATTTTTGGAAAACAGGCAGCTAAGGTAATGGTGTCGTTCCTAGAGTTCACCATCGCGAAGGTGCTCGCGTGAACAGCTGGCGAAACTGGGTTGCTAATTTCGAGCTGAAGGTCGATCAGCTTTGATTTAAGTGAAATGTACAAATCGTAGCATGTGTAAAACACATCATCAGATAAATAGGGAACGTCTTTTCTGGTATTGAGTTGTTACGTAAGGTTTCGATGATTTTATCGTGGCTAACTTTGAAGTTTTGGTAGGTGGTGTCAACTTCGGTGAGCAAACTTTGGACATAACCGCTCGTCTTTTCCTCGGATGGTTTTCTGTCGTAGCTTACCATCAGCCTACTGAGGTGCGCATGTATCCGTCGTTGATCTTCAATAGCAGTATGTACTCACACATTCCATTTTCTTCAAATTGAAGCAAGCTGTAGATTGTAATAATTAGAAGCCTTTCACGTGGTAGTGATTTGGCAAAGTGTTTGGAAAGAGGAGCACCTCTTTTCAGCGTGTTACTTATATCAAATTAATGCAATTACATATATTTACGTGAGGGATTTGTATTCCTTAATCCCGGGTTTCGGTACCATTTTAATGTTGAAATAACATTAATAGTATTTAATTGTTCTGTATTCAGTTTATGTGTATCAGGTTCACGCGTTTAGTGTCTGAATAAGAACTCAATTCATTTTATTCGTTTTAATTATTCTAAACCTAATTCATATGAAGCTTACTTCTAACTTCTCTTATTAAAAGCTGATGTTTCTCTTACTCTAATTTCTCTTATAATTAATTCTTATAATTAAATAACTAAATATGTGTGTAGTTTTATGGTAAGTATATATGTAGTATGTTTGGGAAAAGTATGTATGTAAGTAAATAGCAATTCATAGAAGCTTACGCAACTATATAAGTGCAAAATAGAATAGTAACAAATATAGTATATAATTCACAATTCATTTCATTATAGAATATGGTAAATGTTTTACAGGGTGATTCAGCTTATGTAGAACCAAACTTTTAGTTCGTACCGAACATTCTCCCCCTTTAAGAACGGATGTTCTTAACTCTGTTCTGCGGAGCGCTGGTTGGAATTTTGGTGATAAGGCTTCGATTCCGTGGTGGGCAGGATACAAAATGTTCGTGATAGGTCGTTTTACTAACTTCCCGTTGCACAAAAATGTTACAACTCTCACCAAACCGTCAGTTCTAGGGTGAAGCTCATGTATTTTTGCTAGTGGCCAGTAGCCGGGAGCCCTACGCCATGCATTAACAAAACTGCGCCACCGACAGCAGGATTTCTCTTTTGTTGTGTCCACTTTGTATGCTTTTGAAGAGTGTGCATATACTCATCGGTCCATCTGTGCCAGAAATGTTGTTTAAGCCGCTCCACGAGTTTCCAGCGAGAGAGTCGATCGATATTAGTGTCAAGTAAATTCTCTTCTAAAATGCATGTATCTAGTTGGCTCACCCATAAGAAAATGAGCAGGTGTTAGTACCTGAGAATCATCTGGGCGTTAAAGGGCACAATGGCCTCGCATTTTGGCAATTCTCAATTTGTGTGAGTAAGGTGCTCATTTCTTCATAAGTAAGTGTACGATCTTTCATTACGTGACGTAAATGATGTTGAGTCGACTTCACACCAGCTTCCCATAAGCCTCCGAAGTGGGGAGACGCAGGTGGTATGAAGTGCCAGGTTGTACCTTCGTTTGCTAGTGCCGCTGCTAGATGTTCAGTGAGCGCTGCTTTCTGATTTTTAAAGTAATTTTGCAGTTCTTTATCGGCGCCCACAAGGGTAATTCCACAGTCGGAGTACAAGTCTGCACCTCTTCTGCTAACGAATCGACGTAAAGCTGCGATAAAAGCGTCGGATGTAAGACTTGAAACTGCCTCCAAATGAACTGCCTTGGTGCTCATACAAACCAAGAGGCAGATATAGCCCTTTGAAGTGGTTACTTTACAAGCTGTTGATTGCTTTATGGTTATCGGGCCTGCATAGTCTAATCCGCTATGTAGGAATGCTTTCGATGGCTGAAGCCGAACAGCCGGTCAATTTCCCATTTGTTGCTGGTGTGATTTAGCGGTATATTTAAAACATATAACACATTTACGAAGCACAGAGCGAGCTAGAGAGCGGGCCGATAGAATCCAATAGCGACGCATGACATACGACAATATCAATTGAACTCCTCCATGTAAAGTTTTATGATGAGCATCTGTAAAAATAAGCAACGATAGTGGATTCGTTTTTGTTAACAAAATGGGATGTTTTTATCAAACGCTGCCTCTGCCTTGCTTATTTTCCCTCCACCTCTCAGTATACCTCGAACATCAATAAAAGGTGAAAAATCTAGAAATTTACAATTTTTGGGCAACGGATGTTTATTCTCCAAGCAACTCATTTCATGTGCGAAATCTACATGTACCGCTCTTATAAGAATGTTCAGTGCACGATTAAGTTCATATGTCGTTAGATAGTCTTTCTCTATATAATGTCCCTCTTCAGGTTTACGACGGCGCACCATAGCTCTAGCATTATGAAAGAAGCGCATAACGTAAGCTGTTACACGTTTAAGTCGTGAAAACGAAGAAAACCTGAATATAAAGTTGGGATATGTCGTCTCCGAAACACCAACATGTGTAGCGATGTGGGACTTTTGTTGCTCTAAATTAGTGTCGAATTCAGTTTTAGAAGTAGGCCATCCACTTTCGTTTGCGATAAGCCATTGTGGTCCACTCCACCACAAAGTGTACGTTATAAGCTCATTTGATGCTAATCCTCTCGTCAAACAGTCAGAAGGGTTCTGGCTTGTAGGTATGTATCGCCACTGATCTACGGTGGAACAACGTTGAATTTCTGCAAGTCTGTTAGCTACATAAACCACCATCGTGTTGAGCAACTTCGTATCCAACCTAAGACACCATACTATCCGTCCAATAATGAATGTTGCACAGTTCACTATCGAAATAGCGCTTAACCTTTGCCATGAGTTTAACTAACAATGTTGCTGCACACAATTCCAATCTCGGAATCGAGACAGTCTTTAGCGGCGCCACCTTAGTTTTGGACTGAATTAGAAATGAAGTTGCGCTTTTCTCATAGTGAAGCACTGCGTACACCATTGCTGCATACGCTAACGAAGAGTCATCGCTAAATCCATGCAATCAGATTTTACTCATCTTATAGATGCTAAGCCATCTTAAAATTTTGATGCTTTCCAGATTTTTTAACGAGTCACGATATCAAAATTTTCTTTCCACAAACGTTGAAACATAATTTGGCTA